TTGACGTGGACTTCGTCCGTTGGCACGTCTCACACGTGCGCACATAGATTCCAACCTATTTGTACAGGTTGGGCCACAAGTACGTCGAGCCCACGGAGCCAAAGCTAGATGCCCGCCAACGGGCGTATCATGTACTTCGTAGCGGATAAGATACTTGAGGTCCTCATCATTAAGGAACTACCACACAAGAAGTGTTTTCAGGGTCAGTACTGTAATGCAACAGGCCGTCATCGAGAGTATATCGATGCAGCCTCGCGCGTAAGCACCCAGACATTTTATTGTCATAGATTTTAAACACTTCGCTCCTTAGAGCACGCAGCATGTCGTAGTGTGCATACGCTGCGCTTATTAAGTCAGGCATTGATGACATCACAGCTGTGACATGAGCTAACTCGTAGTCCGGCCTGCGCGATAGCGCGTCAGCCACTACATTAAGCCGTCCCCTCTTGTACTTCAACTCGAAGTTATACTCGGCAACGAATGAAAGCCGCCTTGCCATTCTCAAAGAGAAATGCGTCTACTGAGTCGCTGTGCGTAGCAACGTATAATCAGTATAAATAACACAAGGCATAGAGCCTAGCAGGTGTACCACGAACTTGACTAGCGCGTACTTCATTGCAAGTAGCTCTTTGTCATGGTCTGGATAGTTCTTCTCTCCAGCTTTGAATTGGCGATACTTAAACGCGATCACGCGTTCATGCCCTTCGACATCTGCTTGTAGTAAAGCACAACCGATGGCGAAATTCAAGGCGTCACAGACGAAGCTGAATGGACGATCCGGATACGATCGTGCAAGTATAGGCGCTCGGAGGAGACTCCCTTCATAACCTCAAAATCTTCGTCGTGCTCAACGTTCCAGCTCCATGGTACATCCTTCTTAAGGAGCTTCAATAATGGCCTAGCCTTCTTGGCGTAGTTCACGCTGTACTTGTACAAGTAATTGGCTAAGCCTAGCCACTTGTGTAAGGCATTTTGGTTCTTGGGAACCAGCCAGTCCACTATGGCCTTGACTTTGGCAGGATCTGCCCTTAACCCATGTTTCACAATGCAGCCACCGAAGAATGGGATTTCCTCCGAGCCAAAGACACATTTGTCCAAGTTGGCATACAACTTATTAGCACACATGCACTCGAGCACCGCCCGAAATTGGTCTATGTGGTTTTTATCATCAGACCTTCTGTGCTCGGCACGACAATGGACGAAGATATCGTCAAAATATGTCTGCGCGTTCGCCTGACGGGGCCTGAACAACTGCGTCACAAGACGATTGAATGTTGCTGGTGCGTTCGATAGCCCCTGGGGCATCACCAGCCGCTCCCACAGCATACCGCGCGGAGTGCTTACCGTCGAAACATCACTCGCTCTCATGAGCAATCGGAAATAACTATCGACAAAATCAAG